AAGCTTAAAATATATAACATATGGTAACGAAAATATTTTTTCTGGTGTTTCGCGAGACATCGCCGTCTGTGGGAATCGAACCCACGACCACGTGGTTAAAAGCCACGCGCTCTACCGGCTGAGCTAAGACGGCTTGGGTTCTCCTTGCTCATATTCATAATGTTATTTTAATTTGATAATTTATTTGGCCTCTAACAAAAGGTACAACAAATCAGTTATACTACATATACATCAGGACGTCTATAAGGGTATCCACTCCCCACACGTAGAGAATAACCCACTTGAAATAAAATATAATTTATCCTAGTGGATCCCTCTTCATATGAAGAGAACGAACACCGCATTATGTACAAATAGCATACCACTTAGTATATTTATAGCTTATAATACATACAATTTGCAAATGTGAAATTGAAAATTCTAGATTTACTCTCTTTCAAGATTTGTCCGTGAAAAGGTGCAATTGAGGGAATTTTATGCCAAGACTAATTTAATTGTCTCATTCATTTCATTATATAATAATCTGTGAATTTTGGTTGACAATTAAAATCATTGCCCTTTTCTTCTCTCTCGAGGTCAAAATACGTTCCAACCACTAAATTTTAAGCGAAAACAAAACTTCGAATCAAAATAGATGTCATTTATAATAACGCATTGAGCTATGCAATTCAAAAGTTTAATATACTTAAAAAAGAGAAGAATTTAATTTCTTAGAATTGGGCAGAAGTGAAACTTTAACGATTTTTATTTGTTATAATAATATGTAGAAATAAATCATTCAAAAAGATATAAAATTATTGAGTTTGTTTTAACATTTCATTTTCATTGGACAGAGGTATTGTAGGATGTGTCGGGGTTAAATATGGAAATGACTTTTGAATGATTTTGGAGGGTATTGTAGTAAAATAACATGCTACAATTTGCCGGGCAATCAGGGTAGGACTGTGCTAAGAAAGTAAATTGACGTGTCTATTGTTGTTCACGCGCCTTTGGGCCCACCACTTCCGTTAAAAGCGGCGCCGTTTAGGTGGTCCACTGTACCGGAAATACCCGCCAATTGCACTATCTGATCTTTTTAGCTCTTTGCTTTTCACTTAATTTTTTTTTTTTTTTTTTTTTGGTCTTGTTTCCGTTAAAAGCGGCGCCGTTTAGGTGGTCCACTGTACCGGAAATACCCGCCAATTGCACTATCTGATCTTTTTAGCTCTTTGCTTTTCACTTAATTTTTTTTTTTTTTTTTTTTTGGCATTAACCCCCCCCCTTTTTTAAACATTTGGCAGGGTACCATGTAGAAAGCAAGGGGGGATCAGATTCACAATCAATGGTTTTCGTTACTTCAACTTGGTTTTGATCACTAATGTAGCGGGTGCAGGAGATATCGTGAGGCTTAGCATCAAAGGTACAAACACTCAATGGATGCCGATGAGTCGCAATTGGGGACAAAACTGGCAATCCAATTCAGTCCTCGTGGGTCAAGCCTTGTCTTTCAGGGTCACGGCTAGTGATCGTCGCTCATCTACTTCATGGAACATTGCACCAGCCAGTTGGCAATTTGGACAGACCTTCACTGGCAAGAATTTCAGGGTTTAAAAAAATTGGGATGGAAAATTATTTCCTTTCGACCAATTAATTTACTTTCCAATATTTTTCCCGCCTTCGTAATAGAATCGGGAATTAGTATAGGATTAGTTTTAAGTGTGTTTTGGGTGTTTACTTTTGGTCTTCCGTTTCTTTAGCCACTTTGGTATGGGGTTATTTTTCACTTTTACTTTTGTGTTTTCACTTTTGTATTAGTGCTGGTAAAAAACGTCAAGAAAGACAGTGATGTTGGGCTGAAGCAGCGGCTGCACGAAAAAGGAAAGCATGTAGCCCGCAGCCCTAATTATGTTGTCTCAAATTATTACTACTAATAATTGTTATATATGGAGTATGTTTCTATTGCCTTTTACTTATTTTTATCCAACATTTCATATCGTTTATTTATGTTAAATTGAATATTAGACAGGGTGTTGAATATCCCTCGACCAACTTCCACATTCGAATAACTATCTAATTAGTATCAACATAATAAATAAATCTCTATTTCAAAACTACTACAAAGTAGGCCTAGGCCAAAAAATCTAAAAATCGACCAAACCAATCAAACATGTTGGTTCAGGTTGGTTTGACACAAGTAATTGGTTTAGTTTGGTTTTCTTTTAAACAAAATCATGGTGGATCAGTTCAATCATGGTTTGAAATTTCAAATCATTGGTTAATCGAACCAACTCAACTCACTTACGTGTTCATATTTTTTTAATTTAAGAAAAATAAAAATCAAAAGATAAACTCTAATTTTATAAGTATATCTCGATTCCCTTTAATTTATGATATTGCCGATAAGTAATAGCACTGAAAATTTTCTTTCACAAATTTATTATGTTATACTTAGTATTTTTTTTTTTCATATTCAAGCAGTCAGAATACTGATACATAAAAATGCAATAAAATTTTTAAGTTTTCTATTAATTTGTCTCCATTAATCTAATTTTATTTGTTAATCAATAGTTATTATAATATAAAATTATTTGGTTATTTTAGTTTTTGTAATTTAAGTGAGCTTAAAATTCGAACAATTTTTTTTTTTTTTAAATTAATTTGACTAAGCAGTGGTTCAATTCGGTTTAAGAGCTAGAGTGAATTGGTTTGATTTGAAATTTGTCCAAACCGACTAATTTGAGTTTGGTTTCAGATTGGAGTCGAAACTGACACAAATCAAATCACGCTCAAACTTATTTCTGAAGGATAGGGACAAGTAAATTAGATATTTAAAGTTTCATCAGAGAATAATGGATGATATATTGGCCACGATATTTGCTAGTTGGCGGGGGATCATTTCTTCATTACAATGCCAGGAGATATTAGGGGCGGTGAACACAATTCGATTTGGGTGATTTGTGCTATACTTTCGACTCAAAACATTTTATGCAGCTTGAAATTTTTTTAAACCAAACCATAATTTGCAGTTTGGTTGGATTTTATCCGCGGTTTACCTATCGATATTATAATAACATACTTAACATAAGTTAACATATAAGTTTAAACGAGAACTAATAATGTTAAATGTTAAATTTCATTCATATTTACCATAAAATCCATGAATAAATTATTTTCAAAGTTTCTTGCTAAAAGATATTAATAGAACAAATATATCTTTCTTTATTTTATTTACATTTTCTTGTTTGACATTTATATTGTCATATAACGGTTGATAAAGGTAGAGTTACATTCTGATATTATAGTTTGATTAAAACTTCTTTCATCTTAGTAGTGAGATGTTAAATAAGGATTGAACTGAGTATGTTTAGATGTACAAAGATTAATAGAGTTTCGGTTTATTGAGAATTGACGAATATCATTCTCTAACTGCTTTATGAAAGTAGATGGTGGTAGTACTAGTTAGAGAATTTTAATATTTTCACACAATCAATAAAATGTGTCCTTCGTTTTTTTTCAAACTACAAAGAAGTTCATTAATCATCTAGACACACAAACAATTAATTTTCTATCCAAACCACAATTCATAAGTGTATAATAAATTCAGAAACAACAAATAAAAGAAAGAACAACGAAAAAATGGCTTAAATGAGAATTTAAGACTTATCGAAATAGAAGAGATAAAGAGGTGATTCGGGTAGAAATTAGTAGACTAACAAGTAAAGACAACTAACAATTCATTTAGCAATGACAGACAAGCGTCAAATGTTAGGAAAATGAAAGTTTATGTTAAGGCTTCTGAAACTTTGAACCTGATTTGCTGACATAGTTTTGTTGAATTACGATTTGAATTGTTGAATATATATATATATATATCATTTCATATGATTTTTGAATAATTTTAGTTTAGTTTAGATATTGAGTGAGGACCTATGTTGTGAACTTGTTAAACCATATGCCAATAATAATGAATCTAATTTACTTTCTATAATTATTTCAATAGGTTCATTATAATTTGTATTGCTAAATTGATATTTTTTTTCTGAAAAGTGAAAACTGTAAAATTTTAAGTCAATAAAATTAATGTTTTAATTAAAAAAATTATTACAATTTAATTTTATGCGATTTTTGAAAATTAAAACCTAAACCAAATCATTTTTGAAACAGTTTGGTTCGATTTGAGAGAAAAAACCACGGGTCCACGTGGATCCAAACCAACGGTTTCAACTCAACTGTTTTAGTTCGATTTGCAATTTCATGATTTTTTTTACAGCCCTAGGAGATACAATATTTAATAGTAGAAGATTAAGAACAAAGTGAAAATAGGCATTACATTTCTTTAAATTTTATATAACTTGCGCATATTTTGGTATTGCAGAGTGGAGAACTTTACACACCAGTAAATATTGTGAGTCGTGACCATATGTTTAATCCAGTGCTCTGAAAGACTTGCTTAGCACTGTCAAGCACGCCCGAATGATAATCTTTTCATTTGACAAGAAATTTTTTCTTATTTCAAAATTAAGTGCNATATTTATAGCTTATAATACATACAATTTGCAAATGTGAAATTGAAAATTCTAGATTTACTCTCTTTCAAGATTTGTCCGTGAAAAGGTGCAATTGAGGGAATTTTATGCCAAGACTAATTTAATTGTCTCATTCATTTCATTATATAATAATCTGTGAATTTTGGTTGACAATTAAAATCATTGCCCTTTTCTTCTCTCTCGAGGTCAAAATACGTTCCAACCACTAAATTTTAAGCGAAAACAAAACTTCGAATCAAAATAGATGTCATTTATAATAACGCATTGAGCTATGTAATTCAAAAGTTTAAGATATTAAAAAAAGAGAAGAAACTTTAACGATTTTTATTTGTTATAATAATATGTAGAAATAAATCATTCAAAAAGATATAAAATTATTGAGTTTGTTTTAACTAAACCTCATAATGGAGTACAAAAGCTTAAGAAAGGCATCCTAATTCACAAATACAAGAAAAAAAATATTCATACACCTACTAACTTCATACTTGCATTTATTTATTTTTTACAAACAAAATACAAAATTTTCAAACTCAAACAAAATGGAGCTCAAGCTCAAAAACCCTAGAACATTTTCCAGAGAGCAAGAAGATCACAACTGACAACTAATATCAAGGGTAGATCACAAATTACATTGCCAAACAACTGTACATTAATTCTCTTCAAATATGGTTTATATAGTACACAGCTACACGTACAAGGTTGTAAATGAAATTAACTACACCAATGAATCGAAGAGGTTATAGTTGTACCTCTTTTTACGTGTAAAGAGGGGAAGCTGATGGTCTGGGATGAGTTGTTACTCCATGCATTTCTCCAGCACTGCTTCTGCATGAACTAGGCCGAACGTTATGGTGAGTTTGCCGGTTTGATTGGTGATTCGTTTGATCATTTTTTGAAGTTTCCTGAAGCTGTTCTAAAGCTGTTACCACCTCATCCATGTTCGGCCTTGACCTGGGATCCACGGATAGGCATTGGAGTGCAAGACGAGCGGCCTTTAGGGCTCGACCCAATGAATATTGGCCTTGAAGACGGACATCCAGAACATGAAGAATCCTACGCTTGTTTGTGAGGTAAGGTTTTGCCCAGTCAACCAGATTATGTTCCCGTGCTGGCTGATTCTTGTCTATTGCTTTCCTACCAGATAAAAATTCTAACAGAACCACGCCAAAACTGTATACATCGTTCTTGGCAGTTAAATGACCTTCAAGCAAGAGAGAAATTTATCAGATAACCGTCCATCATTTAAGCAATGAACATTCATTGCAAATCAAACGAATAAAAAATGCTCTTGGAAGTTCAAGGTTTAACATAGCATTTAGTAGCTAGAATATCATGTAGACAATAACAAATATGGATAACACTTGGCAGAAAAAGATGAGGGATTGACCAAAATAAAGGAGAATAAATGCAAAATACAATCATATTGGTCAATGAATTTATGAGGAATTGAGCATGTCAAATATACCTGTCGATAGATACTCAGGAGCAGCATATCCATAAGTCCCCATAATTCTAGTAGAGACGTGACTCTTATCACCAGTTGGCCCATCCCTGGCTAACCCGAAATCAGAAAGTTTGGCATTGTAGTTCTGTGTATTCAAAAGCATAAAATCGTTAGGAAGTCTATAATTATGTGTATAAGGGAATCCAATGACACCATAGAGCCAATACCAGTTTAGCCTTTGAAAATACGTACTGAATCAAGCAGGATATTTGATGTCTTGAAGTCCCGATATATTACTTGCGTCTCAGCATTGTGAAGAAAGGCAAGTCCCCTTGCAGCTCCAAGAGCAATTTTCATTCGTAGGCTCCAAGAAAGTGGCTGGAAGTAAGAACCTCCTGGTTCAACACAAAATCATTGTCAACTTAATTACGTGAGGCAATAGGTTCAGAGAAATATATACTCCTAATCACACAAAAGACAGACATGAGGTTATATTGAACTCACTCCTGAATAGATGATTCTCCATGCTACCCTTGGGCATGAACTCATAGACCAAAAGTCTGTGGTCATCCTCTAGGCAGTAACCAATCAATTTTACAAGATTAGGATGACGCAACTGACCAAGATAATTGATTTCAGCCTGAAAATCCAACAATGAAGCTTGTCAAGGGTGCAACAAAACAAGCTGCTCCATTGTCATAATTCACTTTTGCCATCACAACAATATTAAGCTTATCTAAATCAGATATATAATATCTTGAACTTATAAAAGTTGCTTTATGAGATTTGTTAACTACACCGATCTAAGTAAGTGGACATCAAGCAAAACTAAGCAATGAATAACCAAATTTTAAAGCACGTGCAGAATGCCTATGCAACGACACATTTTGCAAGAATGAATGAATACTGTTATGGCTTGTTTATTAGAGTGTATTTGACACTACTACACACAGTAATAATTAAAGAAGAAAAGAAGCTATAATCTCATACATTGTACTGTCAATGCCTGTACAATACTGTATAAGAACATGCACGTATTGTACAAAACACAAAAGGCGATATACATGAGAAATGACTAAAAAGTTAAAAAAGGAGCTAGCACATACCAACCATTCCTTGTGACCCTGTCCCCCATCTTGTCTCAGCCTCTTAACAGCAATCATCATCCCGACGCCTGGCTTTGATGCTGCATATGAATTCTTGTCAATCCATCCTTTGAAAACAGAACCGAAACCCCCTTCACCTAAGATGCTATCGGGGCGGAAGTTCCTTGTGGCTGCCTTGAGATCACTGAAAGAGAAGATTTTCAAGTTGGAGGACTGCAATATCTCACCCTCAGTCCGAGGAGTCTGGGATAGTGAAGCAGATGAACCCACGCTGCTTGAATTACTCAACTCTATCCCATCTCCACTTACATTTCTAGAAGGAGTCACGCCTATATGCATCATCCAATTTCCAGAATTAAGATTAAAATATCAAAATGTATACTTTGCGTGCAGATTATCAGAGCTTTCCATTGCCTACTCAATTTGCAAATGTAAATTATTAGAACTATTAAACCACCTAATCTAAAAGCTTATGCTATTAATATTTGGCTTCCACATGCTCCATCAAATGCATGGCACACTGGATTTATTTTTTCATCAAAGGCTTGACAAGCAAAATTTTCATAAATAGGAAACACTAAGACTAGAACTTAGAACACTTGTATGCTTTAATACTCTATTGAATTGTCCAAGAACTTAAGTTGTTAAAAGAGGGAGAGATTTAGTTATTCATATTTCATCTTTAAAATAAACCTTACATATTTAATCATTAAAATTCCCCCTTCAAGCACACAAAACTCCTCACAAAACATATGCAGTAAAAATGTATAGAAGAAATTAGTTGCCACCAATTAAAATCAATGAAGAAATAATTTACTATGCAGCATTTGTAGATTCAGGTATCCTATTCCCTTTGAAGGCAAATGATACAGCAAACCAGCAAATGCAGAGGACATGAATTCTTAGTCTCAGAAAACTAAAACATCCCAAATTTGATTTTTTGCTTCAATCTTTCCATTTTCTCAAATAGTAAACATATTTTCACTGTTTTCTCTCTTTAGCTTTGCATAAAGACAGTGACGGTGGATTGAGAATATACCTGTACCGGTATGAAATGGGCTCTCGGCCTTGATTTGGTTGCTAAGGCAAATACCCATCCAAGTTCAAAAAATCCGTCAAAAAAATTCAATATCTTAGCCTGGAAAAACAGGTCACAATTCCAAAACCAACTCCAAGATGATACAAGCACAAAGTACAAACAAATTGCTTACTTCAGGTACCTGAAAACAAATGAAGTAAACTTCAACACAGACCCGAGAAAAGCCCTGTAATTCCAGATCTAATGGGAATCCTCTGAGTTTTTTCTTGATCTCTGTTTATATTAGGTATTACTTATTAGCCGCCTACCAAACCACCTCTCCGACTCTTTTCATGAAACATTTCTCTCTAGAAACAAGTTTGCTAATTAAACAGGGACAAAAAAGAACACACAGTTGCGATCTTGATGATGAACTGGTGATTTTTCCTACATGGGTTTTGTTTTTGCACTGGAAAATTACGAGGGGAAGTTGTAGGTTAAAGAAAAACTTGAAGAGAAATTGGATTTTATTGAACTGGTAGTCCTCATTTTTGGAAGGTCGTTGGAAGAATCCTCTCTTTAGACCAGATTAGACGGTCGACTTGACTTTTGGGGTACAGATAATTCATATTTGAATGATAAAATTTTAATTATTTGATAAATAGAGTTTCGACTTTCAAATTTTAGCCGGTATTTGGTCCTATATTAAAAAATAATAATAAAAAAAATATTTTTATTCTTGAGATTCATAATTTTATATTTCAATTTTAATCAAAATCTATTAAAAATTTATTTTTAATAAAATTAAACGAGTGCTTAGTTTTTGTAGTCAAGAGATATCGATATTTTATATCAAAACTAAAATCTCAAGGTTGATTTTTTTAGTGATCTCGCGAAAGAATGAAGATTGGGATTACAATTTTCTAAATCGTTTAATAAAGAAAATGTATTTATTGTATATTCGATTGTTTTTAAAATTGGGTTCTTTAGCTTTTTAATTTTTTACAGCATTCAAGTTTTGTTTCTAACGACAATTTAAACATCTCCAATGGCATTGTACTGTAGCAAAATGTGTATCACATCATCCCAAAATGATTAAATAGTAAAGAAATTTGAAGAGTGTCTTTTATATCATTTACGCGTAGTCGACAACTAATGCAATTCACATCTTAATAGGAGATGCTCTTCTCTTCATTTTTATTTTGCTTGTCACGTGTACAATAATTCATATTATTGCATTGGAGATGCTCTCAGCCGTTCAATTTTTTGCTTGTGTGCTTACGGCATTGTTTGGGAAGCTAGATTCTTCATAATTAGTCAAGTTTAATACAATTCTATTACTTTTACCAAAAAGAAAGAAAAATATTGGGGTTTAAAATAAAATTTCCCTTTTTCTAGAAAAGTTTATGGGACCTGCATATAAGAATAATTTTCTGCCCAATGACGAATTAGTTTATTATTAACTACAAATATGTTGATTTAACAATAATTAAGATAAGGAGTGATTATTATAGTTTATGGGCACAAACAAAAACATAATTCTCCAACTCTCATGGCAAATTAATACTCACATGATTAGGATAGTTCATATTGCCCACACCAAGAACCTGTTTGAGCCACATTATTTTAAAATAATATATTCTTAAATAGTGATTTGACATCATTTCAACCACACATTCTTCAATAAAATAATATTACACGCAGATAAAAAAAATTTCCTTATTTTTTAACCACACATTTTCCATCAATACACTATTCAAGAATGCATTTTTACCAAAATAATGTAGCTCAAACACTCTACAAATGTCGAGGTAAGTACTGTCAAGAAATATAAAAAAAGGTTGAACCCCAACCTTAGGGGCCCCCACCGACCCTGCCCTGAGCCATCGTGGAGGAGGTAAATCGCAGGATGTGCCTCCCAGGAGCCAG